CGAGTTAAGAGCTGTGCTGGTATCTGCATTAGGCGTTTCTGGAAGATGATTCAGGTGGCATCTGTTTCTCCTCAGTTGTCCCTTGGGCGTTTCAACTGTGTAAGAACGTGGGGGACCGGCTATGTCCACCACAGTCCCTTCAACTTTTTTGTCTGGTAACCAAACATGCTCTCCAGGAAGGAGGTGGGAGGACTTTTGCAGAATGATGCCTGTCAAAGTCTCTCCTCTGTCTTTCTTTCAAGGGGTGTAGCACGGTAAGCCATGAGTGCTTTGTAAGGATCTGGGGTTTTCTTGAGTAGATCCTTTACAGTCTGAACCACGGGTTCAACCTTGCCGTCTTCTTTAACTTATATCTTTTAATTTGGACCTTTAAAACAGCTTATTTGGATTAAAGATGGACAGCAATTTAAAAGTAAGCTGCGAGCGTACCTCATTTGCATAATGTTTAAAGCCCATCAAGCAAGTGACACATTTTCCCACAATTCATGATAACTCATGTTGTGCATGCGCAATTCACGAGTTAAAAAGGACAAAATGAAAAAAATCCCTGCTTTCAGGAGACTAAAAGGCTATGTAGTCACTGTTTCCAATCCATGCTATAGGCCAGGGGGGATGGGGGTTCTGCCTTGTATATGTGCTGCTGGATGGGGTCCCATTTTTTCACCTTCCAGGTCTGTGATCAGGTCCAATTTTGACCTTCCACTCACAAAGGGTGTGAAAATCTGTAACCTTGAATAGCTTTTTTAAATGTGGGAAAATAAACCTGAAGTTGAAGTAATGGGAAGAAGAAATAAACAAATGTATATTTTTATCTAATTTTTGGTCTGTGTAGGGGTAAGTGAAGATGGCTGCATATGGACTGAGATGACATCTCGAGTAAACAAGATTGATTGACAACAGACACTTTTTCTTACAGAAACACAGTGGGAAATCCTGAATTGGCATAGTTACAGACTGAGGTACAGCCAACTACCAGGTATACTTACTTTAGCTGGAAAATTTACCTGATTCCTTCTGAACTTTTTTGCAATAACCTGAGAGAACAAATTGCATTTTAATAAGTCATTTAGCTCTAAGTTGATTTTATGATTGTATTTTTCTAATAGTAAAAAAATAGAAAATTGCAACATCCACTAATGCGATTTCATGTACACTTCTATAGAACTCTTAATGAACTTTCTATGTCTTGATGACAACCAGTTAAGTTTGAATAGACCACGATAAGTTTACAAATGTTAATAGATGAAGTGTTCAGTTCTCAAAAGAAAACTGCCGAGGATCTATTTCAATAAATGTCTTTAAAATATGCTGTACCAATGTTGTACATACTTTGCATTAGTATCTATAGCCTGTGACTCACCCAAAAAGGTACCACCATTCAGATAAATTTTCAAGTATGGCAATCTGCGGAAAAGAAGAAATTTCGCTATTAAACCATGAATACTTTCCTGCTTTGAATGCTGTGAAGTTCACATCTACCTCTGAAAATGACATAACAGAATTACCAGTATTAAACCTCTTGTTACTTTTACTTTACCGAAAGAATGGCACAAATGTCCAACATTTTTTTGATAGTTTAAATTATTTATTGACAACTCAGCAAATTGACATAGTCCTTGGGGATCTAAATATAGATTACTTAAACACTAAAGACATTGCACCACTTGCACAATTAATGGAATCTTTAAATTATGTTCAGATCGTAGATAAGGCAACATTTATTTCAGGCACTCTGCTAGACCATGTTTGGGTTCAGCATAGTGTTAAGAGCTTAATTGGTGCCTCAGTTATTAATGTATACTATTCTAACCACTGAAGAAGTTCAGACAAATCTTACATTTTTTCTGAATGATATGCATGAATTGAACTGTCTTGTCCACCGTTACTGGGACATTGATGAACCTAAAGAAACTCTGGTTGTCAGACCAGATGAGAAGCTTGCAAGGGACACTGTTGCTAGGTCCTTGACCTTCACTGATGGCCACTATGTTGTTGGCATGCCTTGGAAACAGGATCAACCATCGTTACCTGACAATTACAGCATGGCCTTGAGTCGTCTACAGTGTACTGAGAAGAAATTGAAGTGGTCCCCAGAACTCGGTGAAGTCTACAACGAAGTACTGCAGACCTATCAAGAGAAGGGATACATCCACAAAGTCCCACATGAAGAGGTCAAGCCTGATCAACTTTGGTACCTGCCCCATTTCCCAGTCTTGAGGCCTGACAAACCGACCACCAAGACTCTTATTGTGTTTGACGTGTCAGCGAAATTCAGTGACGCATCTCTGAATGACATCGTACTCCAAGGGCCTAAACTCCAGAAAGACTTGTTTGTGGTACTATTGAGATTTCGCCACAGTTTGTTGCTCAAGAACATGCCAGACAACGCCAATCAGAACTTCCCCTAGTGGTGGAAAATGTTTTNTGTTGCTCAAGAACATGCCAGACAACGCCAATCAGAACTTCCCCTAGCGGCGGAAACTGTTTTGGAAAGCACGTACATGGATGACAGCATAGACTCCGTTCCTGATGTCAAGACCGGTGTAGAGTTGTACAGCCAGCTGTCAAGGTTATGGGAATCTGCTGGGATGCATGCCCGGAAATGGCTATCAAACGTGCCAGACGTTTTACTGTCCATTCCAGCTTCAGATTGTGCGACCGAAGTTGACCTCGACAGCGGAGAACTGCCCTCTGTGAAGACACTGGGTGTTTTGTGGTGTCCCATGGAGGATGTGTTCAAGTTTCAAGGTAACCTGCCTACTAAGAGCAATGATCATACGAAGCGCAGTTTCCTAAGGAAGATAGCCACATTGTTTGACCCTCTTGGTTTGCTGTCGCCGTACACAATGCGTGCCAAGGTCCTGATTCAAGAGATGTGGGCAAGTGGTGTGGACTGGGATGAGCTGGTGGATAGAAGACTGTCGTGGAAGGCTACACAGTGGTTTGATGAGCTGTCAGTGTTACCCACCCTTCACATTCCACGATGCCTGAGAAGCACCACTATAGTAAAAAGCATCACTTTACACATGTTTGTTGACGCATCTCAAGAAGCATATGGCGCAGCCTGCTACACCAGACATCTGTATGAAGATGAGTCTGTTAGTTGTTGTCTTGTGGGTTCAAAGTCTCGTGTTGCACCACTCCAAGCTGTAAGCATACCGCGGCTAGAACTGATGGCAGCTGTAGTAGGGCTTAAGCTCAGCGAGACAGTTGGAAAAGTCCTTGCCATTGAGAGTAGTTACCGGAGCTTCTGGTCTGACAGCATGGATGTGCTTTACTGGATTCGCGGATGCAGTCGAAAGTTCAAGCCATTTGTAGCTAATCGCGTTGGAGAAATCCAAGCCTTGACAAGTCCAAATCAGTGGAAGTATGTGCCAACCGGACAGAACCCAGCTAATCTACTGACCAGGGGAGAAAGTGTCTCTAAGCTGTTGACAGAAGAGAAATGGTGGAACGGACCAGCATTCCTAAAGCAAGATTCAACTGAGTGGCCTGAGACTAAAATTGAGGTCAAGAAAGGACCAGACATTGAAGCCCGTAAGCAGTACCAAGAAGCAGAACAAACAGAGGAGCAGACATTCCTTGCTTTGACCAGTGAAGACCGCCTGCAGGCACAAAGATACTCAAGTTGGAGTAAGCTCACCAGAGTTACCGCGCGTATAGACCGTTTCCTAGAGAACTGTCGTTTACCAGCAGCTCTTTGAAGAGAAGGAGCCTTAAAGCCTGATGAAGTGACCGCTGCAGGAAGGAGATATATCAGGCAGGCGCAACGACAAGTTTTTGCAGAGGAAATTCGAGCATTGAAGGCTGGAAGGGAAATTCCAGGTGGAAGTAAACTGCTGCCGCTGCGACCTGTACTAGACGAGGAAGGAGTCCTTAGATGTGATGGGAGACTTCGTATTTGCCATGGGAAACCTGTTACCCCATCATCTTGCCTCGTAGCCATTGTGTCACAATGCTCATGCACACGAGCAAGATCATCATGCAGGGACCAACCAAGTACTAGCGCAGCTTTCAGTCCAGTATTGGATAATTTCTGNCGCGTCGGAGCAATCCCAATCCAAGCCTTGACAAGTCCAAATCAGTGGAAGTATGTGCCAACCGGACAGAACCCAGCTGATCTACTGACCAGAGGAGAAAGTGTCTCTAAGCTGTTGACAGAAGAGAAATGGTGGAATGGACCAGCATTCCTAAAGCAAGATTCAACTGAGTGGCCTGAGACTACATACATACGTACATACATACATTCTTTATTCAAGTCGCAAAGTTACAAAAGTATACATATAAAAACAAAAGATAAAAAAGAAAAGGCGTCTCGAAAAGGAAGTTACTAAAATCAAGGTCAAGAAAGGACCAGACATTGAAGCCCATAAGGAGTACCAAGAAGCAGTACAAACAGAGGAGACATTCCTTGCTTTGACCAGTGAAGCCACAAAGATACTCAAGTTGGAGCAAGCTAACCAGAGTTACCACGAGTGTAGACCGTTTC